AGATAGCTATAATTTGGAAGAGACAATGTTACTGCAGTATGCATTTTACACTGAACATTAAAAAATTTAATAGTACTCAATTTTAAAATAATAGATAAAATGCACTACTCTTAGCATGAAGTTCCCCCCTTTTTTTTATTTGCAGGGCTTTTTTTTTTTCTTTAAATGCCTGTTTGTTTCTAATCATTTCTTTATCTGCATGTTAAAAACTGTACTACTGCTTCTAAGATAACTATAATAACAGCTATTTAAAATTAATCAAAAAACAACCTTAAATTGGCATAGTTTTAAACATGTATGGTTATATATGGCAAAATTTCTGCTAATCTAAGTTTGAGTTTCAGCCTAATTATAAATTTTACATTGGCATATTTTTCTCACAATTCAATATGATAACATATATTTTTTAAAAATAATTTTGTAACTTAGGCTTACATCAATATTTCATTTAAATAAATACATGTAAGAATGTTATCTTAATTTAGACAAAACAACTTTACTCATAGTACCTAAAATAATTATTTAATTTTTCAAAAGTGGGGATTAATGGGGCAGGTCTTCTTATGCCAATTACTTATGTTATAGTTTATAATGTATACAATAATACAATAATGTTATACTTTATATATATTTTATCTAGAATGTTAAGCTAGCACAAAATCGAATCAATAATATCAGAGGATACAATAAAAATAACTGTAACAATAACTTAACAGAATTAGTTCTCATTTGAAATATGCTTTACGCTATTAACTTCTAAAATGTCATCTAGAAATATTTCAAATCAAAACATATTATATATGCTTACTTGTACAGTCGCAATGCAACTACAAGTTGTTGAAACATTATTTATTGGCTGCCACATTCAAGCAATGACTGCACAAAATACCGTGAACTGCACAAAATATGTTTTCGACTCATAAACTGTATTCATCCATGAATGAGAAGGTATAGTCAAACCTCCTAAGGACAATAATTTAATCCATTCTGAATTAAATATTGGTTCATCAGCACTGTTTTTAGATATTGTTCCCAATGATGGGTCTTTGTCTCGCACACGATAGGCAATATAACCTGCAACATATGTTAATGCTTCTTTTTCGGCTGTCGAAAATTGTCTGTTGGAATTCAATTCTAATTCCCAAGCCATAGAAGAAGGTTCCTCTATGAAATCCAAATCCAAATTATCAATAGTATTTAATGGAAAAGCATCTTCCTCCTCAGTTTTCAAAGCCCTTTTAAGTATTTCTGATGTTAAATATGAATCAGTATTTCTGCTTTCTTTAATCATGCATACTTTTGAAGATAAATTTGGCAGCTTATTAGCGAGTATTAATTGCTTTAAGCGGCATATAACTTCACTAGGTGATGGATGGTCATTAAACCTACCAAGCCCTCGAATCTGACTAAAGAGACTTTCAGTGCATCCTGAGTTAATCTAGAGGTTAAAATATATTTAGCATCATGCGATGATTTCAAATCCTGGTGTAGGCCAAAAAGAGAATTTATTGACATTATTACAGTCAAAAGTCGTTAATTCGGACACCCATAATCCGGACCTCAAAGCTAAAAACTTTCTTCGCATGCGCTGCGTTGACACATGCGCATAGGCGTTTACGCATGCGCGTAAGACCTTTACGACTGCGCATATGTGTGTGCGCAAGTGCAGAATATGTTTTCGCGTGCGCGTTTTATGTATAACAGACAGTATATGCTAAAATTATCTATTTCAGTTAATGTTGATGATTGCATTGTTCCTTAATCTTCAAATTATTTCCGGCTTATTATTTTTTGCAAACTGTAAGAGCAATTTTATAAAAGTAAACTTGAACTTTCGATTATGTCAAATAGAATTTCCGATACTGGAGCTCCCAAAGGATCTACAAATGAAAGTATGTTCCGATGTCCATCAAACAAAAAGTGGAATTGCTGCAAAAAATGGATAAAGACATGAAGAATGTGACAGAGAGGTTAGTGAAAACAAAAAAATTTCAATTGACAAGTTAGTCGGTATTCTCGGCACAGCAATTACGGGACTTGAACAGCGGAACTTTGTAACTGAACAAAAAATTATATCTGCTTATAGAATTAAAGAGAAAGTATTATCTCATAAAATGAAGCAACTTAAACAACTTACATTGAAAGAAATGTTTAATAAAGTAAACAAATAAATATTAAGCTTTTTTTTTTTTCTAAATTTTGATACCCTTTAGATCATAATTGTTCTTTATTTCATAAATTATGGTTTCATATTTTTAATTTTAGAATTTCTGCATGCCATCTTACGAGATTTAAACTGATGATCTATAATCTGGAAAAATCGATAATCCGGAATCGCCGAAGTCCCGACGAGTCCGGATTAACGACTTTTGACTGTATTCCTATTTGGAAAGGCAGTAAGTTGGCTTTTCCCTGAACTCTTAATCCACCAATGACTTTCTTCATTAATTCCAAAACTTGAATTTGTTTTTCATGATGTTCATTTAATCCAAATGCTGCCTAAGTATTTTATCTGAAGGAGGATATGTTTTAGTACTATTCATAATATCGAAAAATTGTCGATTAACTCAAAGAAGTCGAATGCTTTTTTATTTCCTGTGAGTTGGAGTATACCTTTTGCAGTAGTTCTTGAAAATAATGTTTTCGCTGGAGCGACTTTTTGGCTCTCGTTTCCCTTGACCATTAAATAATCTGGTTTTAGTTTGTGACACAATTTAATTTCTCCTGAATTTTTATTTAAAACCTCTTTAATAATATCAACATTTAAAACAGTTCCATCTTCTAAAACAAATACTTTATCTAAAAAATGGTTTCTCAGTAATTTGAGGCAGTGCGCTAAATCTGCAAAAACCCATATTTTTTTCGTTTGCAATACTGGATTTAGAAACAGAACTATTAATCGAAATCTGTAACTCTTTCCACAAAGTACTAGATCCTCCTAAATCAGACACTATTGCTTTCACTTCCACTCCAGATGATTGAATATGTCTTATGAGTGAAAAAAGAAGTTCTTTCTTCATTGGAGTGTTAAAGTAAAAAAAAAATATTGGTTGTTTCCACTGCGAAATGAGACCTTTGATTAAAACAAACTGCACTTTTTGAAAAGGACCGAGAATTTGGTCCAGTTTAGAGTCATAGCAGAGTTTAGAATCTATGTGCATTTTGTCGAAACTGAGAACGCATATTTTTTTCTACAGAATTCAAATATTTGCATCTTTCCTTCATTACAGCAAGAACATCATTCTGAATTCCTGGACTACATGAAAATTTAGTGCACCATCTCTTTAATGTGCTAGTGCTAGGTAACGGAATTCCCATTTTTTCTTTCCAAAAATCGAAGCTTTTAGATGACAGAGCTCTTATGACATTTCAATGTGAAATATCTTCACTAGTCCACCTGATTTTTTCCTTCTTTTCTAGCAATGCGTTAAACTGCGTCTTTGTAAAAATATGCTTTAGACGTTTTCCCAAATTCTCCGATCTGTGCTGTTTGAGATTTTAATTTTTGAATTTCCGATACAAATTTCTTTCTAGATGTCGTCCACCTTCTTTTTCGCTGAGCAAACATTCTAAAATTTTTCTTTTCTCTATTTTTCAATACTTTATTACAATTTTCTAAGGATATTATTTTGTTCTTCAAATCATCAATACATTCTTGTTTATCTTTACACTTACGGCATTCAGGGGATATTGTCACATAGGGCATTGTCACTTGCGAGTTTTATTTTAAAATCATTCACATTTGGTTTATTATTGTCAGCTTCAATTTCATTCTCGCCCTCAAAATAAATTTTCTTTGGGCTTAATTCGTGTAGTCTTTCAAAAGCACTCTGCATTAGTTTTCTTTTCAAATGTCTCCGATTTCTTGGTGTTATTTCGTTTACTGCACACGATAAATTTACTTTCAGCACAGTATTGCATTTCAACAGTTTCTTTTACGGCAATCCAAGCAAGCGATTTCTCATGTCATCTTCATAATCACTGCACAGAAAATGTTCGCTGCAAATTCTTGCATTTCTCACATTAATAGAATCCTGTCTTTGACATTTATGTATCCATTCTTTCGTCAAAAGCAAATTGTCCTTGGGGAAAGCATGAAATACAACGTCTCTTCCTTTCGTATTTCTATAAGTGTTACGGCACGTTGCTATACAAGAAGGCATATTACATAAAGGATACTTTAAATATAGAATTTAAAAGGAAAACTGACTAAAACTATAAATATATATATATATATATATATATATATATACACACACAAATTATTTTAAATATTTGCATTATTAGAAAACAAATATGTATGATTAAAATTAATTTGGGATATGCAACCTCCAGAAAATCGTCTCGCAACTGAATGAAACTACAGTTTTAAAGGTGCGAAATCAGATCAGGTATAACAGAGACACGTCAGATTACTTCCAGTTCCCCCTTCCATGAGGCTCACGTCGGCGAGGAGTCGAACAAAGGAATGACCTAGCCCTTCTATTTATCCCTGTTAAAGAGATACCATTTGGCATCCATTAATTCATTTGTTTATGTAGTAGTAGTACTTTATTATGAAGCAATAGTTAAAACCACACAATATTTTCAGCTGAGGTCTTATGGAATAGGATACTTATGTGTTATCCATTGGCCAGCTAATGAGTGTGATTTAGCACCAATTATGGATGAGGACTTCCTTTAGAATTCTGAAGTAATGACTGGTGATTGTTGCCATAATTTCCACCAATTGTTGATGGGATAATACACAAGTGCTCAGAAAAGCAGCAAAATTAATGGAAAAGGGGAAGAAATTCATTGAATGAATGTTGTATTTTGTATGTGGTTAAGCAGTTGTCATTGAACAATGAAGGTACAGATTGTTTGAATTTGAGTTTTTTCTGTTGACCCAATAAAACCACAGTTTGCAAAATTGTAATATGTATTCATATATTTCATTTTTTAGTTTGTATATAATTTTTTTTTTTTTTTTTTTTTTTTTTTTTTTTTCCAATTTACAGAGCGAGCCTATTCAGCTGAACTAATAGCAAGAATGAGCGCTGAAAGAAAACTATGTACAGATTTCCTAAAATTCCTATTAAATAGATTTGTCAAAGATTTGGATTTCTCAAAATTTGACTCTTGTCCCTGGGAGAGTGTTTTAGACAGTGCTACTGAGATTGCTGAGGTATAGTAATTTCTTTTGTTAGTAGTGCTTTCAGAAAACTAATCTGCAGAAGTGCAGTTTGAAAAAGTGAGTGGCCTGTGGGAGGAAGTAGAGAGAATGCTGTTATTTATTCTACTACCATCTCCATTTATTAACCTTATACTGTACTGCTTTCTCCATTTATTAACCTATTGCTTATGTCATATTATAAAATTATCAAATTGGAGAGTATCCTTCCTTAAAATCTAAGTGCACTTTTTCAATCATTTGTTCTTGAAATTTTATATAGTTAATTCTTGTAATGCTTCTGAAGATCTCTGCAAAAAATTAACTTGTAGCAAAACATTTTTGCTGTTATCATAACCTGTAATAGCTAGAAATCTTATCTTTCAAACTAGTTCTAAGAAAGCGTACTTGTACCGAAAGTTGCCTTTGTAAATTTGATGTAGAATCATACATGTACAAGCTGAAGCTTAAAAAATACAACCTGGAGTGTTTCATTTGTCACAGATGAATTTTCTATACTTTGTAATTATCTCTCATCAATGCTAATTTTCATTACATTCATAAGTATAAACCATATTTTCTCATAATTTCGTCCAATTCTTTTCTGAATAATAAAAAAATATCATTAATATTTGTATGGTATGAGGTACCTTGAAGATCTATGGTTCAAATCCCAACAAGAGCATAGATGGTTACTTGAAATTCTTAGCTCTGAAGCAATATAAAAATATCTACAGCAGTACCTGAACCAAAATGTTGTGAATGGTGATGCATTATGACCTGGATTTAATTGACTTGGTATGTGCATGTTAATATAAAAATTCCATTCCCTCTCCACAATCAGTGGTTTTTTTTTTAATGGGGGAGAATGTAACGAATTGCAAGAAGTAGATGGGAAATTATTGACAAATATGAAAATGGTGTCTGTGTCTGTTCTTTCTCCCTGATTTGGTATGACGAAATCAACAGTCTGCATATTATAAAAAATAAGCTGATGTTTCAAAAAGCGTAACAGTTCTTATTAAACAAGGATAACAGATGATTGAAGAAGTTGAGAAATTCCAGCTCATTTAGATAAATGAGCAAATGTTAGCTATTAACAAATTTTCTAAAGGCGTCATTTATATTAAAAAAAAAAAAAAAAGGCAATTGCGATGATCTGGGAAAATATACTCTAGTATGATTGCTGGTACTGATGTTTACAGAGCTAGCTTAACGGATGGTTTGAGAATTTTAAGAAAAATGTAGCATATACATAGTGCCATTAGGCATGAAGATGTTTCAATTGTTAATCAAAAGGCTGCGGAGGAATTTGTACAGAAATTTGGTGATTGCATAAAAGTTAAAACATTTCTTCTCCAGTGGGTAAATGCCTAGTAGAAAATAATAACCAAACAGGAGATAGCATTGTAGCATTACCTGGATATGATTTCGTGAAGGGTAGGCTAACTCATTTGCAATATAGAAATACAAGAGAAGACATTTAAGGCCTAACCATTACTTTTATTGTACTTAAAATTCAAGGTTGTATTAAAAAAAGCGATAAAAAAGAAATTACTTGTTAGGTGGAAGGCTAAATTTTTTTATTGAGTGGGATTCGGGAGATGGTGGGATAATTTTTTAAATGATTTTTATTCAGGATAGTGGATCCATGAAGTCTTTGCCTCGGGTGTGAAAAATACTTAAAAGAAAACAATCTGCCATTGAATGGCCTTCTTGTGATAAACCTGCTCATCTTTCAGGCTTGACTGAGTAGGTAGAAAATTTAGATTTCATCAAAATGAAGTTCATGCCTTCTAAAGTTACTCCTGGAATAAATGGATCAGTAAGTTATTTCAAATTTCGAGAAGTTCTGCACTAAAGCAATTCTTTTAAGATGTTCTGACGTAACTGCTGAGACAGAACTAACACGACCATAAATTTAGTCTGGAGGAAATCACAGCCAAATTGTGTTCCAGGTAGAAACTTTGAGTATTCTGACACTGATGAAGTTCCGGTTTTTGATGATGATGATGTGTGTTTAGACAATAACATGGGCCTTGAAATTTAGCAATGGGAATGTGAGGGAGTTGCTAGAAGATCACAAACATGAATTCAACATATAAGAATTGGAGCAGAAACAGCACCAAAGAAAAATGTCTTGAGAGGAAGAAATCTGGAGGTTTTTCCTATTTATTTTATTTGCAAAATGGGATGAAAAACAAAGTTTCAAAGCATGTTATCATCCTGCTGAAGAAGTCATACTATAAATCATTGGGAATCCCATGCCTTACTTTAGGAACATTTAAAATATAGTCAAAAATGAATCACAATGCATAAATTTTAGTGAGACAAAGCCTCTGTAATTCACTAGTAGAGATGAGTGATGCTAAGAGGAGCCCCCTCCTCTTAACCTAGATAAACAATAGCTACCTGACATTTCTGTGTAATATTATTCTCCTTTCAAACATTTAACATTTTGTCCTTCCTTTACTGTTTCCTACTTACACTGCCAACTTTCCACCATACAGATACTGTAAAGTTTTCCTATTTTTCATATGTTTAATATTGTTAGATCTAATTAATTTCATTGATTTTCTATTACAGATTTGCAGTCAAAGTTAATAAGCAATTATTTAGGGTTTGAAAAAGGATTAATCTATTTTACATTAATTTCTATGGGAAAAATTGTTTCAGTTTACAAACATTTTGGATGATGAACTGTCTTCAGGAATAAATAAACTTCATGAACCGAGGTTTCACTTTATCATAGTACTCTCATTTTGTAAGTGATAACATGCACAGCTTAAATTTTAAAATCCATGATTTGAATCCTAGTGCAAAGTTTATTGCTCAAATTATCTGGCTTTAAAAATTATGAAAATGTTTCTACGATGGAAGGTATAATTCTTGCGGATTCACAACCTTGATCCTTTTTTTCTTTGTGGGTGGAAAATTTTTATAAAGCATTTTGCCACTTTTAATGCAGAATTTATGTATGCAGAAGAATTTTAATGCAGAAGATGTAATTATTAACCATGGTATTGGCTATATAATTATCATAATGTCTTTGTTAATATAAACTAAATTCAGTGGCGTAATACCCTAGTGGGCCAAGGCCAGCAGTGCCCCGAAATCTGCTTTCTTGACCGTGGGCCACGGGGTGTGTAAGATATGCCCTGAACAAGTGGTCAGCTTGTCGCAGAACCCCCAGTGTTTAGTCCCCAAGTGAACTTGGTACTCATTTTATTGACCCAAGGTATGGAAATCAAGGGATGAAACCTTGCCAGCTCGGGGATCAAACCCTAAACCTGTGGTGCTGCTGCACAATGCGCTAGCCACTGCGCCACCAGGCCTTTCTGTTAATATAGTAGTTACAATTAGTAATAAATATTATTTTATGTTGTACAGGTTAATCTAATATTTTTATTTTCATTAAAGGGAAGATCACACTCATTTTGATGAAACGGAATGCTTAAATCAGTTTTATAAAAGGGCAGCAAATTTCTATTTTGTTCAAAGTAAAACGATTAAATAAGTATTTATTGATGTAGCTTTTCAATGTTTATACAGTACTTTAAATCCTTAAAAAGTTTTTATAAACTCTATTTTCAAAGGTCTTTTATTTTTTATTTATTTATTTATTTATTTATTTATTTTTTTGTACTTCATTATTATTTTTGGAGCAAAAAACAAATTCTTAAAAGTCTTTAAATCTTGCTGAAATATTTTGCATTTGCCCTAATGATGCTTTATGTGAACACCTTTATAATAGAGGTTAACGCGAACATCACATTATGACTTGCTTCGTTAGCCTGCACAATATATAGGAGTGCTGTGCTTTTTTGATAGCATTTGGTATCTGTTTTCTAGATTAAAGAGGTTGCTTTACAGTGGGATAATTTCATTAATGTGTAGAAACATTAGGATTTTTTTTTTTTTTTTTTTTTTTTTTTTTTTGAAGCAGAAGAGATGAGAAATTAGCAACGCCTTCGCCGGGAATTGAACCACGGACCTCTGGAATACAGGCCCAGCGTGCAGAACCACTACACCATGAAGGCACGCTAGGAAAGCGGGAGAAATAAATTATATACTCCCCTTTTTGAAGGGTGACTGGGGTTTTAGAGGACCCAATTACCAAATCCTGGGTGTGGAAAAACCTCATCCAACACCCTTTTAGTTCGGGTGCCACTGTAGAGACATTACGATTTTTTCCTTTTTTGAAGCAGAAGAGATGAAAAATTAGCAACGCCTTCGCCGGGAATCAAATCATGGACCTCTGGAATACCGGCCCAGCGTGCAGCACCACTACACCACAAAGGCATGCTAGGAAAGTGGGAGAAATACCTTATAAATGTAATGTGCTATTTCTGTTTAGAATAACTATGTTGTTACTTGTGACTGAATTGAATAATATTATGCCAGCAAAAATGTGTATTCAATTTTTTTTTTTTTCCCCTTTGTTTTGGAAACTAGTAATGTAAAATAGGCAAGTATGTGGATAAATATAAAGCAAAGTGCAGTCTTTATTAAAAAATTATACAAAGTGTAACAGCACCCTGTATAATTTTTGTTTATTACAACATTGAGGGGGTTAAAAGTAACAGTTTTTGTAACCTAATATGTGATGAAATCGAAATGCTGATACATAATAAGTATGAAGAACAAAAAAGTTTCTTTAATGAGTTATTTACAAGAATTGTTCAAATGAACAACGACCAACTTCAGTACATGCATTATAAAGATTGATGCACACTTTGGAAGATGCCTGGCATGCATACACTTTTGGAACTAAGAACTGTAATTCTGGCAATGAGGTCTTCAGGAGAGTTGATCTACATCTCCTAAATCAGATTCTGGCTGTATTATTTGATGAGCTGGAAGTGATATTGTTGCAATCCCAAAGAAAGCATATGGAATTTGTACAATTAAAGTAGATGGACAGTGTATTTATGCGAAGGAGGGCACTTACAATCCATTCAGTCCAAGAGGTCCTTTTCAGAGTTGAGTTTTGAATATTGGTTTAAAATTCTCAT